TATATATATATAATATGTAGGTGTGTACTATATAGTATATATAACATCGTTTTTCATACATAAAATTAATTTTAAATTTACAGCCATATCCTCCGGCATGATTCAATGATTGATATATATAAGATTTGAAAAAGAAAAAACACGTAAATGAGATTTTTATTATTATTATTATATGTTTTTAGTCGAAAGTATTATTAGAATGGGAGTTTGAGCCTAATTCAACTTTATAAAATTATTTTTATTTATATATTTTTAATTATTTTTATCACTAGTTGATGTGAAATTTAAATTTTTTCTAATACACCTTCTCATGTTTAGTATTATTAGGCTTAGCGTGCATGCATTAAAGGTGGGTGGGTAGCCTTTTTTAATCATTTAGAATACGCAAGATTTGGATTTTTCTAAGATGGATGGGTGGCCCTTTTTAATTATTTAAGATATGTGAAATTTGGATTTTTCTCAATACATCATTTGCATTTAGCACTATTTGATTTGGTATGTGTATCAACAGTGAGTGAGTAACATTTTTTAATAATTTAAGATACATGAATTTTTCACGATACAGATTTCACAATATACTCTTTACGTTCAACATTAGACTTAGACTTGGTACGTATATTAATGGTGGATAAACCATTCAGAGTGGATTTAAATAATTATAATATTATCTTAAATTATGGATTTGGACTTAACTAAATCCCACAAAATTGAATTGTAAAATGAAGATTGTCTCCACGTATATATTTTTTATTTATCTTAATTCTAATCAATGTAAAAATTAGATTTTCCTTAATAAATATTTATCAACTTTATGATAATAATTAATTCCAACTGAAAAATCTGAATAACTGCTCTTTTTTTTGCAAGACTATACGTAAAATATTTGAATTTGGTATTATTTAAACTAAGGACATGTAATTATATTAAATACAGTTAAAAGAATATTGTTCACCTTTCTCAACAATGTTAAAACTCTACTATAAATGAAAGGCGATAAATTTAACTCTTCTAAACTAATAATTAAGAAAGTATGTATGTAACAACTCGACTGGTCACTACACACACCACTGAACACCGGAAATACCAGACAGAAAGAGCGAGTATATAATTATAGGATCTAGAAACTACCCATAGTTTTAAAAACTGGACCGGTCATCGAACCGGTTAAGGTACTGGGTCAGTGGGTCAAAGGTTGAACCGGTGGGTCACTAGTTGAACCGCATGACTCGGTTTTTATTTATTTATATTAAAAAAATATTCATATTAAATATATTTTATACTTATAAATTTTAATAAATTCATATCTTATTTTAAATTTCAATTTTTCTATCTTATTTAAAATTATTTTTATTTTTATTTTGTAAAAAAATACATAAAAAAATTACATGTTAAACGGTATATTAATACAAATTAAAAATATAAATAATATGTACATATATAATAT